GTAGTCACACCATACCATCCCGTGGGCGGAGTCACTCATACCATCTTGGCGGTAGTCACCCTACCATCTTGCGGTAGTCATCCTACCCACTGGCGTAGTCCACCAACCCTCTGTGGCGTATCAACATCCCTCTTGGGCGTAGTCCCAACCTTCATCCCATAATCCTGTGGGGGTACACCATCCCAAACGTGGCGAGTCACCATAACCCATGCTGTGGGGGGTAGTCACTCCATACCCATCCAGGGCGGTAGTCACCCTACACATCCTTGGGCGGTAGTCACAAACCATACCATCCTGTGGGCGGTAGTCACTCCATACCCCTCCTTGGGCGTAGTCCCACCATCCATCTGGGCGGTATCACACCATACCCATCCTGTGGGCGGTAGTCACTCCATACCCATCCTGTGGGCGGTAGTCACTCCATACCCATCATGTGGGCGGTAGTCACTCCATACCCATCCTCTGGGCGGTAGTCGCTCCATACCCATCCTGTGGGCGGTAGTCACTCATACCCATTCTGTGGCGGTAGTCACACCATACCCATCCTGTGGGCGGTAGTCACTCCATACCCATCCTGCGTGCGGCAATCACTCCATACCCATCCTGTGGGCGGTAGTCACTCATACCCATCCTGTGGGCGGTAGTCAACCATACCCATGCTGTGGGCGGTAGTCACTCCATACCCATGCTGTGGGCGGTAGTCACTCCATACCCATCCTGATGGCGTAGTAACCCATCCTTGGGCCTATACCCATAATCCTGTGGGCAGTAGTCACCCATACCCATCCTGTGGCGGTAGTCACTCCATAACCCATCTTGGTGCGGTAAGTCACAACCATACCCATCCTGTGGGCGGTAGTCACTCCATACCCATCCTTTGGGCGGTAGTCCACCAAACCCATCCTGTGGGCGTAGTCACTCCATAAACCATCTGTGGCGGTAGTCACTCCATACCCATCCTGTGGGCGGTAGTCACACCATACCCATCCTGTGGGCGGTAGTCACTCCATACCCATCCTGTGGGCGGTAGTCACACCATACCCATGTGTGGCGGTAGTCACTCCATACCCATCCTGTGGGCGGTAGTCACACCATACCCATCCTGTGGGCGGTAGTCACTCCATACCCATGCTGTGGGCGGTAGTCACACCATACCCATCCTGTGGGCGGTAGTCACTCCATACCCATCCTGTGGGCGGTAGTCACTCCATACCCATCCTGTGGGCGGTAGTCACTCCATACCCATCCTGTGGGCGGTAGTCACTCCATACCCATCCTGTGGGCGGTAGTCACACCATACCCATCCTGTGGGCGGTAGTCACACCATACCCATCCTGTGGGCGGTAGTCACCACATACCCATCCTTGGGCGGTAGTCACCATACCCATCCTGTGGGCGGTAGTCCACCATACCCATCCTGTGGGCGGTGTCACTACATACCCATCCTGTGGGCGGTAGTCACTCCATACCCATCCTGTGGGCGGTAGTCACACCATACCCATCCTATGGGCGGAAATCACTCCATACCCATCCTGTGGGCGGTAGTCACTCCATACCCATCCTGTGGGCGGTAGTTCACTCCATACCCACCTGTGGGCGGAGTCACTCCATACCCATGCTGTGGGCGTAGTCACTCCATACAATCCTGTGGGCGGTAGTCACTCCAATACCCCATCCTGTGGGCGGATAGTCACACCATACCCATCCATGGGCGGATGTCACCCCATACCCACTCCTGTGGGCGGTAGTCAACTCATACCCATCCTATGGGCGGTAGTCCACCATACCCACCTGGGGCGGTAGTCACACCATACCCATCCTGTGGGCGTAGTCACACCATACCCATGCCTGGTGGGCGGTAGTCACCATACCCATCCTGGGCGGTAGTCACTCCATACCCATCCTGTGGGCGGTAGTCACACCATACCCATCCTGTGGGCGGTAGTCACTCCATACCCATCCTGTGGGCGGTAGTCACTCCATACCCATCCTGTGAGCGGTAGTCACACCAAACCCATCCTATGGGCGTAGTCCATCCATAACCATGCTGTGGGCGGAAGTCACTTACATACCCATGCTGTGGGCGGTATCCACTCCCATAATCCCATCTTGAGGGCGGTAAGTCACTCCATAAATATCCCTTGGGCGATAGTCACAGCCATACCTATCCATGGCTTAGTCACTCCATACCCATCCTGGGGAGGTAGTCACTCCATACCCATCCAGTGGATTGTAGTCACTACATGCCCATCCTGGTGGCGGTAGTCACTACCATACCCATCCTGTGGCGGTAGTCACACCCAACCCATTCCTGGGCGGTAGTCACTCCATACCCATCCTGTGAGCGGATTCACTCGCATATCCCATCCTTGCGGGCTGGTAGTCCACTCCATACCCATCCTGTGGCGGTAGTAACTCCAATACCCATCCTGTGGGCGGTATTCACTCAATAACCCATCCTGTGAGCGGTAGACACTCCAACCCATTCCTGCGGGCGGTAGTCACTTCCATACCCATGCTGGGGGCGGAAGTAACTCCTTACCATCCTGTGTGCGGTAGTCACTCAATACCCATCCTGTGGGCCGGTATCAACTCCAACCCATCCTGTGGGCGGAAGTCACACCATACCCATTCCTGTGGACGGTAGTCACATGACTCATAACCCATTCTATGGCGGTATTAACTCCAAAATTATCCTGTGGGCGGTAGGTCACATCCAATACCCATCCTAATGGGGGGGAGAGTTGGGGGGGGCGATATGGGAGGGGGGCGGGGGGGGG